TGTTAAAAAGGAAAAAGTGAAATTTGGGACAGCACAACAGCAACAATGCAGATGGGAGTTCCTATGGAAGAGCAGTAAGAATCCAAGCTGAGGGGAATTTGACAACTTCAAGGACAGTGAGTAAATAAGTAAAGAAAAGTGGGCTGAGGTTTGTTTTATGTTTATTACGGTAAGCACATAGTAAATGGCTGATGGATAAGATAAAGGGGATGATGGTGTCAAAGGCTAACTCAGAAGTTCTCCGTCTCTAAAGCTCATAAGAACTACCTGAAGTGTTTGTTTGAAATACAGAGCTCTTTAGTCTTTATCACTAGAAATTCCAATTTATCCAGTGGGTTAGGGAGGGGCCTGAAGTAAGCACCTTGGGTAAAATTCTCATGCCCACAACCCAGGGGATTACTGAAGCTCTTTAAAAAATCAAAATCAAAAGTGAGAAAAGAGAAGCAGGATTTTTTTAAATCTAGAAAAGAAAAAAGAAAGGCAGCTAAGTTATTAAACAAAAATCGCGGGGGGGGGGGGGGGGAAGAAAACAACTAGAAAGTAAACAGGTAACTGAAGTAAAAGAATGGCTTAGAAACAGCTTTAGGGTTTGTGTGTGTGAACAAAGACAAGCCAAGACAGGTCAGGAGTAATAAATCAAGATGAAAAAAAGTCAATACATTCAACAAATTAAGGCTTTCTCTTGGATTTTCAAAATAATATGCATTACATCTTTTTCTTTTTTATAGAATAACATGCTGTTGTGAGAGAAATGGAAGAAAAAGACAAAGAATAAGAAACTAACATTCGTTTATCCCTTATAAATATTTACTATTAATATTTTAGTGTATTTTTGCTAGTCTTTGTGCTTGCTTTGTTTTTTAAAGGTCTTACTTGGTTTGTGGTAGTTAAGAAAATTCTATATATGCCAGTAATTATGTTACATCTAACAGTACCTCCTCACATAAATTATTAATGGAAACTTTAATTGTTAATATTAACAATTAAATCTTCTCTGCTAGCAAAGCTTAAGGTTTACACTCCCTCCCCCTCCCTCTCCCCCACCCCCCCTACACCTGCAGGTAGTCATGAGCTTCAGGGAAGGCTGCCTTCATTTCCATTCACAGAAGGTGATTCTTATGTAGCCTTAGCAAACTATAGTATAATTCTAGTCTCTTTGTCAGCAATTGGCTCACAAGACTTCCTTCTGACCAATAATATATAATGTCAAGATTACAGGTTGGATTTGTGAAAGAGCTCCTTCGTTCTTCAAAACCCACTTAAGGAAGATTTTTTTTTTTCCTACCTACAGAATTTATGTGAGAAGAAAATAGTAGGGCTGGTGTTTGGAGCTGGTGCAGCCATCTTGTGGTGATGAAGGGAGCCATAGTCTGCACACTAAAGATGGAAGAACTGGGCCCGAGATAATCTTGTCACTCCAAGTAGTTAACAATCCCTAGACAAGGGATTGTTATGTGAGGAGATAAGCCCCTTATTATTGAAGCCCCCCTTAATTAGGTTTTGTTTCTTGAATTAGAAATCATCCTAACAGATATGACATTATAGTTTACTTTTTCTAAGCTGTTTAGATTACATACAGTTTTTCACTATCAGTTTTTGTCTTTGAACAGTTTTGTCTTTTATCAGGTTTGTCTATAAACTGATAGCTTAGGTAATAATGTAATCTGAGGGAGAAAAATAATAAGCAATAAAAAGAAAGAAACAGGAATGAACTTGAAATACGCCAAGTCATCTAGGCCAAATAATTCTGAATCTCCACTCCCTTTATTGTTTATTGCTGTCAGCAGTGGTGGCTGTCAATGGCAAGTCACAATATAAAACACGTCACAATGGAAAAACTAAGAAATGTAGTCTCCATCTAACATACTATTAAAGACACAAATAACCCTCCAAAATACTAAAAGCCATTTCTATTTGCAAAGTGCTACATGATTTAATCATTTTCCTCTTTTTTTAATACAATAATATTAATCTATTTGGTAATAAACACAACTCATTATGCCATATTCTTCTTTTAGTAAAATGTGCTGTTATTTCTACAGTTTAATGTAAATGTATTGTCAGCCATGTCGACAGTGTCCAGTAATTGTGTCTCAAGTGTTGTCCAGAGGTAGGCTGCCCACCCCCGCCCCAATAAAAATGAGGGAAAGAGAATCTGATTGAACATTATTGAAGTGAAGAGGTCCAAATGTACATGCTAACATCTGGAAAATGAGCAGAAATCCCCAGTATCTGCCTTTGGTTTGTCACTAAAGGTAATCAGGCCTCTTGATGATTTCAGACTTTAGATTTATTGGCTTTAAAAATATTTAGTTGTCCTAGAGTCAAATTTTAGAAAGGCTTCCTCCTGTTAAAAAAAAAAAAGTTCCTACACCTCTATCAAACAGCAATTTTAGTGACTATGATTGCAAACCACTAGAGCTACAATCTACATTTCAAGATTACCATCAGGAAGAGCATATGACAAACCTTCACAATGTTACCTAAATTATTATAATGTAATTCATTTTTAGAAAGCATTTTTAAAAGCTCACACATAGACAATAAGATTATAGTTGTAATTGAACGATAATTCTTAACTGTTGTTTGTGAAGTTCTTTAATATCATGGTAATGACTTGTGGTATTACCTCCTCCTGCTCTTGCCAGGAGTATTGATTCATAAATTGACTATTGTGGGGGAGGGGTAAAGAAAAAACAGGCTAAAACTCAAATAATAATTTTGAACAACAACAAAAAAACCATCAGATCAGTTTCCTAAAAGAGGAGTTAACATTGTCCCTATGATGTCTTGTAACTTTGCTCATATAAGATTCATTATCTGTATACTCGAACATTTTAAAGAAGAAGAAAACAAAATCCAGAATTGAAGAGGTGACTACTTCAAAAGCTCACTTGAAATCATGAAGAATGTAGTCTACTCAGATAGAAACTAGAGCTTACATTGACACTGGATTTAAGAACTATTAAACCCTATCACAGATGTTTAAATTAACTAGGTAGTCAGGATAATAAAAAAAAGTTTCTTTTAAGTCCTACTAGATATAACAGGGCAGAACCACAATAAAAAAAAAATCAGTGGAACCTGGCACAGGACTTAGGGCATGAAAAGCATATAATAAGCGTTTGTTAAACTAATGAATAAATTAAAACTAAGCAAATTAACCAGAACTTTTGAAGCCATGTATGTATGGGAAGAGGAATCGCTTTCTTTTCTTTCTCTTCTGTCCTTCCTCTTTCACTCCCTGTCCTCCTTCTCTCAACAACATAAATGGGGAAAAATAATATTCTAGTTATACACCTACAGAACCTCATGGTGGGGAACACAAGGATATGCCTGCAGCTGGATAGTGAGCAAGGGTCATTTTCAGTAATTCTCCTGAACTCTGTGAGATAGAACTGTGACACTTGTGGTCAGGAGGTGTGGGTGGGGCCAGAGACTGACCACATGGAAAAAGCTTTCAGGATTAGGGGGGCTCTAGGGACAGTCAATGTGTAACTCTGCCCTTAGGTATTCAAATCTGAGTCAGGCCAGGCAAGATCTTGACGCAGTAGGGGTAGAAGAGGTCACTGAGTTAATTCTGCACATACAAAAGAAATCAAACAACCTCTTAATTCCTCTAAATACCAAACACATGCATTCCACACCCCAACCCTACACCTTCTCCTAGTCAAGGTCTTTGGAGTCATCTCTGCTGGTGACATATTTGGTTGTAAGTTAGATTCCCAGATACTTTGTTGTCAAGAACCCATCTCCAGTGAAGCACAAATGTGACTTCCAATTAAGTTCCTTAAGAATGGGGTCATCAGTAACTTGGAAACACTTTTTGAAACCTCCTAGTAAGTTATACTGAGCAAGGCACTGGTGAAACATTTTTAATCTAGTCTTCAAATCCTACCTACCTTATACCTAAGAACCTACCCTGTTCTAACGTATAAACAGAACATGTTGCTTGATATCACCCCAAAAGGTGAAATGTGCCATACACACACACACACACACACACACACACACACACACACACACACGCATATGTTTAAAATGAGAATGCCTAATTTGTCCTATTATTTATTATTAAACACTTTGTGAGAACCTACTGGGACACTAGGACATAGACATATGTCCTCTGCATAATATGCAGAGATGTATGTCTCTGCATAATATCTCTATCTGTTTATCTCTACCGTAAGCTAGAACACCCAAATCCTACACCAAACTTCAGGGATGTCATGATAGCATTTCCCTCCAGGAACCATTTGGGACAGACTGAAATGCCTAACAGGGTGAAAACACATTTGCCCTAAGTTCTCTATACAGGAGTAACTAGGAACATTTTCCCAACGACAAAACCTAGCTAATGACTTTACCTCACTCTGCTTTGTGGAGAAATCCTAACCTTCTGGCAGAAATGATCTCCACCCTTGGAAAGAAATACTATGTGCAAACATAGCTAAGTAGTTTCTCCTTCCACCTCTTCTTCCTCGTGTTCCTGAGGCAGTGTGTAGGATTTTAGACTTGTCCCCTGAGGGTAGGATAAAGTCTTTGTTTATAGTGATAAATCATAGTGTTCAAAGTCTAATGGTAAGAGAAGTTGCCCATCGTAAACTTTGACAGCAGGTCAAGGACTCGCAGAAAATGAATAGACAAGAAGCTCTCTTCTCTTCTCTTGCTCTGTGCTCTCTCCCCCACCCCCACCCAAGGAGGGCAGCCACTGGAGTCCATGTCATCAGTAATATTTCATATATTGCACTTACCTGAAAAAAATACTTAGGATTTTCATATCAAAAAACAAGAGACAGCTCAATTGTCCAATTCCAGAGTACCATTGTCCAAAAGCAGAAAGGGCTAAAGTTTCAGTACGAGAACCAGCAGAAAATCCTATTTTTAAAATCTGGCAATAAATAATACTCTGCCCTCTTAAAATTTCCAGAGGCCTTCTACTCAGTGTCCCCAGGAAAACCAGCAGTTGAACCGCAAGACGTTTTGTTTTGCAGCGGTGGTGAAACAAACGAGAGAAGTTTTATTTTGAAAATACAGTCTTTCAAGATAAATTTGGCTTCCATTTTTATCCACATTTAGGTGCATCGGACAAGATACAAAAACAACAACAAAAACAACAACACGAAGACCCACGACAATTATGTACAGAGCTCTAAAATGAGCTGTGAGTATCTACAAGAAACTAGCCCGTGCGCTTGGTGAAGGGGTGCAGTTCTAGTGTGGCTTTGTATATAGTTCTCAGTCCTCCCGAAGAACATTTTAACTCCCTGGAGCTGCAGGTGCGGCTGCAGCAAGGGCAGAGCTGGGGGTCAATGAAGGGTGTGGGGTGGGACCCTCGGGTGGGAGACGTAGCGAGGTGTCTGGGGAGGGGAGCAGGGCGGCGGGCGGGACATCCTGGGCCTCTCTAGCAGTCCTGCCGCGGGGTGTGAGTCAGGCTGTGGCGCCGCAGATCGCAGTTTCGCCTGAACACTTTGCCGCACCGCTCGCAGCTGTAGGGCTTGATGTCTGTATGGGTGAGAAGGTGAGTTTTCAGGTTACTTCTCTGATTAAAGGTTCTTCCACATGTGGGGCATTTGTGTGGAGATTCCTGTTCAGATGCGAAGCAAGCATAGGATTAATCCTTCACACCACCACCACACACCCTTCTCTCAATCGTTTCTGTCTTATCGGTATCTCAAGCCTTAACATAACAAGCTTGTGACTACAAAAGAGGGGACCTGCAGGAACAAATCTGTGCTGCTAATCCTCCAATCGTGAGGACACTCGGGTAGGCACACTGCGGAGGCCCGAGGACTCTCACGATCTTGGCCACCGCGAGGCCTTTGTGTTTTCCAACTCTTCACATTTCATCTCCGTGTCACGGGCAGGAAAAGGGGGCAAGGAAAAAAAAAAAAACACCTCTAATCCACTCTTAAGGAGCCACATTCTCCCGGCTAATAAAGCTCCTCTTCAAGCTGGAAAATTAAACTATTCCTCCATGTTCTGAAAGCTGCAAATTATGAGGCCCCTGGGAAAGACAGCATATGGGATTTCACCATGCCTCCATTATCAAAATTACCTTTATTTCCTCCCAAATGGGATAGCTTTAAATGCAGGGCAGATCGGATTTGTTTTTTAAGTGTAATTCTAAAATTAGGACTTACTATAAACAGAGCCTGTTTGTTTATTAATACAAATATAAAATGGCTTGATGTTAAGATTAAGTTTATGTATTTAAAAAAAAAAGCCAAGAGGCTGCTTTTCCGAATGTAGAAAACAAATCTAAATAGAATCTTTTAAGAACAGACTACCTCCAACACCATTTATAAAGCAATAATGATTTTAAAAAACAGCAATAATGAACACTGTCATTAAGCAAGAAAACAAACTTACCTGCATATGTAAAGTTTTGTGAACTGCTAGAGTTCTAGACTGACAAAATCCTTTGCCACACTCCTGACATTTGAAGGGTTTTTCTTTGGAATGGATATACCTGAAAATCAATATATAAGCTTTCATTGAAATAGCTTGCCCCTTTTGACAAATACCCAAGCAAAACTGTAGAAAGACAAAAGAAACCGAATTTCTATTCTATTTTTAATGTATTTTTTTTCTGTGTGATTCTGTTTATGGTTAACCTCAACTAACAGACTCTTCAAAACATTCACCCATTCGGCTGGCTTTATCTACCCTTGATCGCCCTCTCTGGCCTATTTTGGAGCTCGAAATCCTACAGAATGAGCCCTTCGTGGCCTCACGGTTTTTCTCTGAGACTTAAACTGCACACATCAGGATATAAAGCAAAGGTGGAGTGTGGGGGAACTGATTTTAAAAATTATCTCTTGAAGTCCCACCTCGGGGGAATCGCAGGTAGATTCCGGAGAAGGTTCTATCAACCCTCCACACCCTGCAAAAACACTTAAGTTAGGGTGTTTCTCCAGTTGTGGTTCATTAAAGCAGCGTTTAGGGAAGAAAGGTGGAAACTGACCTCAAGATTCCCTAAAAATGCGGCTGGGAAGGGTCCCCGAGGCAGGCTGGGGGTGGGGAGCGCACTGCTGGGGGCAGGGAAGTGAGGGGGGGGGGAGAGGGGCATCCAGTGGGCCCGGAACAGAGTTCTAGAAAAGGTCCCCAGAAAGCAGGACTGTGCGATCCCTTTGCTCTCGGCTTTTCGGTGCTCGCGTCCCGGCGCCAAGGAGAACCCACTGAGAGGAAATGGGATAACGAGCCCAAGTCCAAGGCCAACCCACCAGAATTTTTTTTTTCTGCCCAAGGATGGAGGGGCGGGGGGGGGGGGGGAATGGAATAATAATACCAAAGAAAAACTCTCCCTCATTCCAAAGCGGCAGGAGCCAGCTGCACAAAAAGAGAGAGAGAGAGAGAAAGAGAGAGAGAGAAAGAAAGGAAGGAAGGAAGGAAAGGAAGGAAGGAAGGAAGGAAGGAAGGGAGGGAGGGAGGGAGGGAGGGAGGGAGGGAGGGAGGGAGGGAGGGAGGGAGGGAGGAAAAGAAGGAGAAAAAGGAAAAGAAAAAGAAAAAAGGAAGGGGGAGTAAATATTGGGGGTTCGCTGAAGCCGGCTGGGAGTGTGGGGCGCCGCGTGGGGTTTAGTCTAGATCAGCGGGCGTTTAAGTGGCATTTGGAGGGTCAGGCTCGGCTTTCCTGGACCGAGTTCTCCCGCCCTCTCCCGCCCAGCCTCGGGCCGGACCTCACCTGTGGTCCCGCAGGTGGTCTTGCCTCCGGAAGGCCTTGTGACAAATGTCACAGGTGTACGGCCTCTCGTCCGTGTGGGTCCTCTCGTGGATGAGCAAATTGTAGGATTTGGTAAAGTGTCTGCCGCAAAACTTGCAGATAAATTCTTTTTTCGTTTTGGACGGTAACCTCCCTCGGGAAGGTTTTCTGTCCGGAGTCAATTTAGTGAGGCCGGAGATGGGGCTGCCCAGCCCGGGGCTCAGCTTGCTCAGATCTCCGATCTTAGGCGGATCTTCCTGCGTGGCGGCCACGGCCAAATTAGCAAAGTCAAAACGGGGCCGGTCCTTGTGCAGGGCAGGGAGGACGTGCGCAATGGCCCCCTGCTTGGGGTGGAACAGGTGAGTGGTAAAGGGCAGAGCCGGGAAAGGAAAGCGCGTGTCCACCAGGCCCTGGGCCGCCGCCATCTCGGTGATGGTGGAGCGGGTGATCTCGTGCACGTGGGGGTACCCCAACGTCCAGTGGTTCATGTGCATGGTCTGCACAGCGCTGAGGCCGTACAGGCCCTGCAGGTGGTCCACCGCGGCGGGGAAGGTGTTCACGGCCTGTAGGAAGGAGTAATTGGTGAGCTGCAGTGATGGGTGGAGCGGGATGGGCGCTGGCAAGGCTTTGCTCCCCATTTTCTTGGATGCTGGGGGGCGTAGTGAGACGCCCCTTTCTTCCAGGACTCACGGGCGGTGGGCGTAGGAGTCTCGGCACACACACACACCGAAAAACAAAACAAAACAAAAATCCCAGAAACAACAACGCAGAGAAAGCCCTAAAAAAATGGCAGGGGAAAGAGAGGGGGAGAGACGGTGGTTATTAAGCTGGCCAGCGCAGGTGGCATCTTCTCCTAGGCTCCCCGGCCACCACTCTCCTCCAAGACTCCCCAGAGGAACCGTGAGGGGGCCACGTCGCAGCACCTGCCCGGAGGGAGGCCGCAGCCCAGGCCGGGCTCAGGGCTCGGCAGGTAGGGATTCCTGGTGGGTGGGGCGCCCATAGGAAGATGAGATTCCGGGCGTGCACCGAGTGGAAGACTTCAGTCCCAGGAGACTGATCCCCTCCGGTCTCCAGTCCGTCACCCGTGACCTCCCACCCCACCAACGCCAGCAGCCCCCCCCCCCGGGCACAGCAGCTCCTCTGAGCCCCCGGGTTGGGAGGAGGTGGAGGTGGAACTGCAGGTTGTGGGTCCGATCTGGGGGTTCGAGTGCCCAGCGCGGGCCGCCCTTCCCGCGCTCCCCCAACTCGGGGGGCGGGGGGCTCCCCGGGAGGGCATAAGGGGGCATGCTTTGTCCTTCTGGGCCTTCCGATATGCCCGCAGCTGACCTCGGAGGTGTTCTCTTTCCTTCCTCTGCCTCAGTGCCATTTATCAGCAGTGACGGGGCCGCGGGAAAGAAAAGTGACACCTCGGGAGGGAGGAAGGGGGAGCTGGGTTCGGCCTGGAATCCCCCCTCCTCCTTCCCAGGGGCTGCCTCTCCTCCCGTCCCCGACCAAGATCCCTTCCAGATGGTTCAGAATCAGGGAGGTGGAGGGGGGGGGGGCGCAGAAAGGGGAAGAACATCCCAGAGGCCAAAACCTCTTTTCCCAGACTGAGCGCCAAGCTCTCAGGAGGCGGGAGCGGCCCCTGCACAGGGGAGGAGGGGAGGGGGAAAGCCAGAGAGACTCGTGGGGGCGGGGGGGGGGGAGGCGAAGCGAGGTAGCCGCAGCTGGGCGGGCACAGTGAGTCTTTGTCGGCCTGGGGCACGTTGGTACAGCTGCCACCCTGAAGGCCGCCTGGGGTCTTCGGGCCTGCGCCTAAGCAGGGAGCTGCCTCAATCTATGCCCCCACCCCCCTCCGCTGGCAGCGTAGAGGTCTGACTTGAGACCCCCGGTCCCCGGAGCACACATCTGTTCTCACTGTGGGCCCATGGCTTCCTCGTGCCAACCCCTCTTCAGAAGAGTGTGTGCGGACTCAGCGGGGCTGGGCGCCCAGGTGCGGCATCTCAGTGCTGAGCGCTTTCCCACGAGACGGGCAGGCTGGCCACCAAAGGCCCCACCTGAGGCTTTGGGCCCTGCAGGAAAGCGCAGAGCCTTGGCCAGGTTTCCGCACCTGAGTGTTCTTGCCCCAGTGCGTTGTGCAGTGGTGTCCGTGACTGTGTACGGGCGGGCGTTAAGCGGCTGCGCTAATGACACAGCGCTTTGGCAAGGCAGAATCTGGCTGTCTCCGTGGGGCCCGCACCTTCCTCCTCTGTTTGGAACAGCTCGGAGACAGAGATTTATTAACGAACCGCTTCTGCCTGGTGGGTATGCGGTCTGGGAGTTCAGGCTGGGAGTTAATGAGAGGTGTACAACAGTCAGAGGGTCTCAGTCAGACCATTCAACCGAAACTGTAAACCCCCAGAAGTAATAAACTTTCCCACCACAAATCACTATTCACTTCTGTTCAGCCGCAGCCCTCAAACCCTCTCTCCTCCACAGTCGGGGGGGGGGGGGAGAATCCACTAGCATTCCTGGCAATCTATCTGATTATTTCCCCTTCCATTAAAAATAATAAATTTAATCTTTATTTCCTTCTCCTTAGGAAATGAGGATTTCCCAGAGATTCAATGTATCCATCCTCCTCCCCCCAGTGTTGAAAAGCAGCCTCTCCGATATAGATAGGAAACTGAAATTAGTATTTGGGTATATTCCCAGACTAGGTTTCTTAGAAATAAACACGGGAGTCAAAGCACAACTGCTACCACGGGCTGGAGTGCGGGGAGAACGGGGGCTATTGGCTGCAAAACTAGAAGGATATGTGATGTTGAATTCCAAATTTGCCTAGTGGACTTTGTGCCATCCAGGTTACAACACTCATTTTTGCTGGCAGAAAGTTGAATGCCATCTTCCTTCCCTTTCCTCTGAACATACAGAAGCTAATGGCTCTATTAAAACTCAGTTTCATGTTGGCACTGAAGCGCTACCTCGTGCTATGTGTTCCTTTTCACTTGCAGGGCAAATTAAACTGTGTCTTCTCAGAGGACAGAAGACCCATTGGTACCTTCTGAAACCCTTTCACAAACCCTAAATGACTGCCAAACACTGCTGCCATAAATAATTAGGGAGTTTAGATGTGCATGTTCCTGTTGAGTTTCTGGAAACATATGTCAAATGATATTTTAAGTCAATGCTGAGATCTAAAGTACTTTCATTTTGTGAGCCCACACTCAGGCAGTTCCAACGACTGCTGTCATCTCTCCACCATCCTGTTTCAAACCACTTGCTACTTTCAATTTTGCTAAGAAAGAAAGCTGAACCACTCTACAGGCATAAATAGCTCGGTGGAGTGGAGGCCACATTTCTTTCACCAGTTTTCTTCATAGGAATTTCCAGGCATGTTCAAAGTTTTGTAAAACTCAGTTCACTGGCTGTCAGCAAGGAAGATGTGTACATATTAATTTCAATCCAGTGAAGCTTTCAAAGCATTGGGGAATGAAAGGTACATAGTAATTTGGTAATGAGCCTCGACTTCTGGTAACGATGTCGTGGTGTTGTTACATTGAATAATGTAATTCTAGAAATAATGTAATTAAGAGTCATCTTCTAAAACGCCTCTATTGGATTCTGGAGGGGAAAAAAAGGAATGGTGGAAGGATAAACTCAACGAATTTCAGCCCAAAGCACAATAGAAATCTCTATGATTCAGAGATCAAAGATTATTTTTGAAACATGAGGAGAGAGACTTGATCAGGTGAATAGAGAAAAGGGCGGTGAAGTTCCTGCCCCTTTGCAGCGCCTTGGTCTTCCCAAGGAGTTAATTAAATTAAGATGCCTTCCGCATAATCTGAGTTTGTTTTTCTCTGCTCCCTCCATCCCCTGGTATATGTATATATATATATACACATATATGTATAACACTCTTGTTTTTTCTACAAACTGCAGTTTGCTGAGCAGAGAAAGTAGCTGTCTGTGCTCTTTTGCTTCGGGAAACCCCAACCCTCTTTTGTTCTCTTCTAACAGGTAGAGGGATCGAACCACCTCTGCCTCGGCCAACACCTTTTCCTCTCTCCTTTTTTTTTTCCTCCACTGCAAATACCTTTCTCACTCATTTCTTCTGAATCCAAGCGTTTCAGCCCCTGGGGAGTTTGCCTTCTGCCCTCTCAGCCACAACTGAAGTGGGAAGAAAATCAAAAGGCCACCATAAGGTTGGTAAATTTACTTAGGACCGAACTAATCCATCTTGAAATATGCCCTCGGAGCTGTAGGCTGGGCAGGCTCTACGTGTCCTAGCTCTTCGCCGCCCCGACGCGCTGCGCGGCAGCCGCGGCTCCAACAGAGTGGACCCAGACTTTCTTAGGGCCGGGACAGAAAAGCCGTGAGACTGGGCTTTTACTTCAACAGACGTCCATCTGCTTTTACAAGAAATCTTACCAAACGCTTAGATTTCTGAAATGTCCCAAAATGCACGAAAAAAAGTGTGTGTGTATGTGTGTGTGTGTGTGTGTGTGTGTGTGTGCTGTTAGGTGTTAGCTGCGGTTGTGTGCTCAGGATCCAAGCAAGTCCGAAATACAATGCCCCACCAGGGCAACCAGGCGAGTTCTTTTTACAACCTCTAATCTTCAGGCACGCCAGACTGAGAAGCTAAGCACCTCTAGCACACCCAAACCTTTCCTTCCTCGGGGCGTCTGCAGGCAGCCCCCTTCCCAGAGCAGACACTCACCTCCGGCAGAAACGTCTGCCTGGATAACGCCGCTCACACCAGATCCAGGCAGCCAGGCGCACAGCTTGGCGAGGTCATTAGGTCCAAGCTGGGCAAACTTCTTTTTCCGCGCAGAGTCCTGAGAGCCGGGTACATATCTGGAGGACCCCGAGGAGCGGAAGGGAGTGCGGATCCTTGTTTTTGTCCGAGTCGGTGGACGCCCGGGGTGGTGGTGAACGGGGTACTTAGGTTCTGCGATCAGTGCTGGCCCTGATCCTCGGGTTTCGGAGAGCCTTTCGCCTCGGACTCTGGGTGAGGAGGGAGCCCGCAGACTCGCAGGGCCATCACCCTCCAGCAGCCTGCGCGCCCAGCTCCTTCCCTGCCCGAGTCCCTCCCCAGGCTGCCTGGGGCCGAGAGTCCAAGGCTTTAGTAGCGGCCCCGCCTCCCCTTCGGGCGGGCTGCACCAGCTAGAGTGGGGCTTGGGACGCCCAGGCTCCGCCTCCCCACCCTGCAAGCCCGCTAATGGTCCGCTCTGTTTACTTGTGTTTGGATAGCAACTGAGTCTTAAAGGCGCAGGTTTGCTGGTGATTTCTCTGCTGCTTGAGACACTGAGCCCAAGGTGACTCAACTCAAAACTCACACACAAAGACAACGCCCACCCTTTTCCTTTTCCTTGCCACTTTTCCCTCCACTCTTAGAAACTCAGCAACTACGTTCTGCTTTTCAAAGATCCTGCAGAGAAGTCCAAAGGGGACACTTTATACTTTAGCTTGGAGAGCTCCCCGTTTTAATTTCCACACAATATGTCTAACACAACATTTATCTTCAAAGGGTAAAAGTGATCTAGATTTTGCTTTCCAGCCTATATCATCCTTCCCACGTTTTAAGTGGTTTTATGCACATTTTTGGACATAACTATCTGTGTAGTCTGTTTCTCTCTGCTTTAAAAAAACAAAGTTTATTCATAGAGGTGACAATTGACTAATTTCGCAATTACTGCAAATACATGTGGAATGTTGCAGGAGAAATTCCTTCCAGTATCTAAGCTTTAATCAGCTAATGAACAATTTCAAAAGCAGTTCACCAACTTGGTTAAG